ACACACACACACACACAGAGTTAAAAGAAAGCCTACAAAAACCACATGTGTATGATTCACCATCTCTTCACGTCATCTTATAATACAGGCTCCACCGGGGTCAATGATTACATATTTGTGAAGTAAAAGAATAAATCTCAACAACCCACAAGTTAGAGTGACTCCTCGGAGGGAAAGCTGTCAAACCACAGCTCTCACTGCTCCGTTCAGAGGGACACATAAAAGTGAAGCAGTGTAAATGAGGCTTGATGAGCAGCCATTGTGACTTCCTGTGCTCCTAACAGCCTGCCTCGGCTGACTACGTTGCACAAAAGGCAATCAATACTTATAAATAACCTGAGCGTAAAGGCAAGGACACCTGGCTGCAGAAGCCTTGGTGCACAATACATCTGAAAAAAATCTTCATTTTTTTTGCTCCTGTCATGTAATATCCATGTGATATACTTTTCAATAAAATTCAATTCAATTCAATTCAATTTTATTTATATAGCGCCAAATCACAACAAATGTCGCCTCAATAAAAATCAGTTTAATCTTTGATAATAAAAAAAAAACCTCCCACACATCTAATAATTAATCTCAAAGAATGCACAAAGGTTTAGTTTACTTCTTGTTTGATGCACAAAATGGAAAGAAAAATGTCATACTTTGATCTCTCTGTGATTTCTCTTACCTGGTAAAGCTGTAAGGATGGTGCCCAGAACTAACGCACCTGCCAACATCTCCGCTGACACAAGCGCTGAAATGTCACCGGAGACGGAGAAAAACACGGGCAGACGGAGCGCTAAAGATCACATCAGTCAAATTTTTAAAAAAATCATCGAGTCAATTAGATCTGAGGTACTCACCTCTCAGAGGGTTTACTTTCACCTTGGCCAGTCAAACAGAGTTGTGGGATGTTTGCGAACCCTGATAGTGATGGAGGTGATTTTTATAGCGGTGAGAGTTGCATGGTGATCTGAATCGACTGGCAGGAGGAGCGGAAGGGGCAGGAGGAGGAGGAGGAGGAGGAGGAGGAGGAAGAAGAAGAAGAGGAAGTATAAGTATGTTTGAAAAAGTAACCTCAGATTTCTCCTTTGTCTTCATCTTGAAGCATTTTCACTTTTACTCCCATAGCTTTTTTAAGGTCACTCCTCTGGTGACTTACAGTTCCTATTTTGTGTGGCTGTGAAAATGTGACATCGTTGTGATCATCTCACTTGGCAATGTGGCAATTATTCTTACTGCAGGTTAAATGTCATTGACCGGTGGTATGTACAAATAGGTGGTCAATCAGTTTGCAGTATAGCCAAACTACAGAAGTGATAAAGAACTACCAAGATCTTGATTGAAAGTGGTTTAAATACACACAAAATTGGGGCATACTGACCATTAATTTTTCATATCTGGTCGCAGGCTGTTGCTGTAACACGTCTCCTCGATTTTCTAAATTGTTTTTAATTCTCTGTAGTTATAGCATTATGAAAAAGTCTTGAGCTATCACTCATTTTTTAAAAAGGCAAATGGGAACTGTGTGAAACATATGCAATCATACATGGAAATACAGCGTACAAGGAAGAAAAGAGGTTTGTAAAACTAATAAGCTTGAAAGTCAAATATTTGCCATGACCACCTTTATTTCAGGGATAGCTCTTCAGGCTTCTTGAAGGACATCCAAAGCTCTTCTTTGGATGTTGGCTTCCTTTTGGTCTGTCAGTAAAGTTGAGGTTAGGACTCTGGGGAGACCAATCTATGATAGTGTCCCACTGTGTTTTTTTCTATCCAGGTATGCTTTTACACCCCTGGCAGTGTGTTTGGGATTATTGTTAAACTGAAGAATGAAGCCCTTTCCAAACAGACGCTGTACTAGTGGGTAGAAATGGGAAGCATTGTTTCTGTAATTATAATTCCATCAGTTTTGAAAAGATGCCTAACACCACATTTTAAGGCATTTGACATTTTTCATGGATTCAATCAAAGATATGGGAATAAATGACCTGCTGTTGCAACAAAATGCCTAAAAATACAATTTACCAATTTACCAATTTAAAATTGGTTCTTTGCTAAGTTGTCTGTCATGTGGTGACACAGCACTGATTAATCTCTTGAATTAGGTGCCTTTTTATGTTTTATTCACAGGTCAGTGTTAACTGGTTCAAAAAATAGACAAATAAAAACCCATACTTCTGAAAATGGTCAGGTATTAGGATTGGACTGAAATTGAGCAGCCAGTGTTCAAAGAAAAAATTTGAAAGTTCTTCAGATAGCCTGGAAAACTACTGCTCAAGATCCCTTTATAAATTAACAGTCTGTGAAATTGAATTTTTTTAAAATTTTGCTTTCAAAGGGCCAGACTGTCACATGGTACTGCAATTACAGTGTAAAATGGGTAAAATAAGTCTAATAATTGTTTACTATGCTTTCTGGGTTAGAAGAGTCAGGCTTTTATCCCAGAAGCTTTACTGAACCAGTTTTTATGCCTTATACCTTTTTTCTTCACTGGGAACAAAACTGAGATTGGGTCCAAGAGTTGACTCCAGTTGGTTCCAAGTGACATAAATTGTCTATGTACTATCCAATTTGTTGCGGCCACTTCACTGTGAGGGCCAACTGCACACACTTCCTTCAAGCAGACTAAAAAGCAGTATAATAAGAACAGCTCGTCTGCGGTATCTGCAGCTGTCCATGTGCGTCAGCAAGGAAGTATAACCTCAGCCTTCACCTCAGTTCCTGCTGTTCCTGCTGGCAAGTGCACTTCAAAGCAATGTACAGAAACAAACGGCTCATTAATAAAAATATTAAGACAGAGTAGAGACTATTTCCAGTTTTTATCTTGGTATCTACCAATCTACCTCTATGGTAAGTTTTGCCAGCTTTATGTTTTGTGTTGAGCAGGTAATCTACCATGAGTTCATCAGAGATTTCTAGAGAAAAGAAGAAGAAGGAGAGCTAATAAGAATAGTGATGAATCTGTGTGAGCTGTCTGTATGAGCAACACCTTCCATAGATACATATTTAACCAGTTTGTTGAAATAAGATCAATGCAGCATGTTAATCCTGCAGAAATGCAGAATTACTGATCTAACTGACTTCAGTGTAAACGACACTGACATTGTCACAGACTGGTGGAACTCTGACCATCCCGATTGACTGATGCGCATGCACGGTTCATTTATGAAACAAGACCAGGCCTGTTGGCGTACATTAATATACATTAGTCAAGTAGACATTGACTCAGCAGCCCAGATGTCCTCTCATCCACTGCTCTAATTGAGAATTGTTGGCACTGAAATCTACCCACAACCAGACGTGGGGAGGTACGAGACCTCTCAGTCAACTGTGTCCACTTAGGCTGATGAGTCTAAATGACTTTAACATCCTAGCCTGCCACAGCTTGGCCAATAGATGTCAGTTTAGCGTCACGGCTCGGCCAATTGGCTACTTACCCCAGCTTTGACCGAGGAGTAATGATGATGTACAGTTTAACATTTAAGTCAATCTTCATTCATGGGCATAGAGTAGAATAAAGAGGGGGGGTGGGGGGGTGGTTTAAGTTCAAAGTTTCAGAGATGATATTGATCACCATCTGGAAATGAAGCTTGATATTTTGCTTTCTAGCCAGCTGATCATGAAAATGATGGCGGGTGGGCAACAAAGGGAATGCTGTCCGATTATATCCAATTTATACGCTGCAAGATTTCAGCATCTGTAGGTCTAGCTTTTGTTGGGCTTCACAGAAAAATGAGAATAGCTGTCATTTATTAATACAAATATATTGGTGGAGTGTTAGGTTAATGACACTCCATATGCTCCCAGTTTGGGTTCCTAAGAAGAGAATTTTGTTCAAGGGATCTGCACTAAGTTTAGTGGGAAAGCTCAACTTTAAAAAGCAGCTTTAATCAGGAACAGAATGTCTCTGGTTGGGAAAGTTACCTTGAGAACATAATGAAAATCTTCAGGATATGAGGTTAAACGAACAATATACTCCAGTTCACAGATTGCTTGGTTGGATTATGAGTTGGACCCCACTCTACTGAGCCTCCACATGACAAGAAGTCTTGTATGATTTAATGATCCTGGATCCCAGCGTAAAAAAGTCATTTTGGTCGCTGGCTGAAAAGTTTTTAGAACCTACACTGATTTTTTTCCTCTCCCCTCCAAATACTGTCTGTATTATGTTGAGTAAGAAGATTGGTGGGCTTTGAGCTTAACCTGTAACCACAGAATGACTTCAAAAGGATCACGGCACACTAATAGGTCAAAGCCTGATGTAATCTTAATCGAAAACAGAGGGGACTAAATGAATGAAGAGAAACAGATGGATGGAGCTAGATTAAGTGTGACTGACCACAAACAGAGAGAGAAAGAGGACAAGAAAGGGAGGAATGAGAAAATTTGAAGGGAAGGTAGCAGAGGAAGGGGGGATAAAGACAAAGGCATAAGGAGAGAAAGAAATAAAGGATATACAGAAGATGGAGCTTAGAGAGGCCGAGAAAGCTGAGCAGAATATAAAAGAGAAAAGGGGGGGGACGAGGCTGAAAAGTAGAGAAGTGTTACATTTGTCAGAGAAATGGAAAAGAGTGTGAGCGGGAGCAACAGACAAATGCATGACAGCGTATCCTGCCCTGACGGTAGGGAAGATATCCATCCGCTGACCGCAGCCTCCAGGCCAGATGAAGTGTGACTGTCTGGTGGTCAGACTGGACCTGAAGATTTTCCGCTGTTGCAAAACACTTCCTGCCTGCTGTGTTCATGTAATGTGACCGCTCACAGTTTGCTCCCCTGCCATACTTTAAGTTGTCCAATATGTTATTTCTATGTTTTTCCTTATGCCCACAGATTAGACTCTTGGCTCTGCAGGCCCTCCAGCCTTGGACGAACTCCACATAAGCAAATAATCATTCGACTGTCCAACATGTGTTAGTCTTCATATTGAGTGGTGCTCTCCGCAGGGGGAGTCAGGGCAAGATGATCAGAGCTGCAATCATATCTGACAAGGTGATATGTTGTTCCTGCGCTGTCTTTTAGGAGCTCTAAGTGATGACTTGATGAGCAGGATTTCAGCCAAGAGAATCACTGAATCGATGGGGAATTAAAGAAAAGAACAAAAGAGAAACAGAAAAGCTTTTCTCCTTAGCCTACCTCATTCATGTTATCAATAAAACACACAGAATTTACTCGTTCACACACTTGACTTTTAACAAAAAAAAGAAGGAAAAAGCCAAACCAAACACTTGGTGATTTCTTAAAACTCCTAAATCTTTGAAACTTATTGAAGGCCTATTAAATTTACCCTGGTTTTGCTCATTCCGGTCCCATTCACAAACTCTGCTGTGGGGTCGGATTTCTGTTCCATGTCTGCCAGAGACCTGTCTGTGGCTGCTGTGGTATTCCACGCTGAATGAGTCATGTCTGGTGGTTATTATGGGCAGGCGTTTGGTCCCCCCCACCCCCTCCCGGCTCTCGCCCCGTCTAGTGGCAGCAGACAAAATTACATCTGTTTTTGAGCCTTGTCCAACCAAGCTGACTAAGATCAGGTTTTCATTTGACCAGACTAGATGAGTTAAGTGCACATTTTTGGTTAGTGGCATAAGAATAAATTGTTGTTTTAACTTCATGTTGAGGGAATTGTGTGCAGAAAGCTGATCGAGGATGGTAAAGTAAATTAGAAGCTGAATAGAGGTGGTGATCAGTATCACGGTGAGCATTTTGGAATGTTTTGGGGGCCCAAATAAAGGGGAGCAGTTACTTAAACTTGTTACTGAAAACTTGAAAGCAGGCACAATGTCTGTACTGTCTATAACAGCTTCACAAAAATGTCTTGATGCATTCCCAATCATCCAGGTAAGTAAATCTTATAAACAGTACATTTGCATAATGACTGAAACCAGCCGACTGAACCAGTGGGCTGGTTTCAGTCATTATGCAAATGTACTGTTTATAAAATTGGGGAAACCTGCAGTCAGCTGAGACTGAAGAAGTCAC